TATAGACAGGGTTTCAATATTGTTAATTTTATTAATATTGTTAAGTAAAAAATTTATATCTGTATTCTTCATAAATAATAAGACTATAATACTAAAATACTAATATTTATAAATATAGGAAAATATATTGTTGGCGCTTAATTGCAACTCCATAGTTGATCAATTGATTTTTCAGTTCAATTGACATTAGTTGGGACAAGTTACAGATACGTACACCATACATACCTTCCGCTTTTTTCATAAATACTCCGCTTCCATTTGCCCAGACCTATTCGTAATTGTATTTTTTTGCTATTTGTTTTGCAAGCCAATAGATTTTTTTATTTGCCACAGATAGTTGTTCATTTACATAAATGTGATTTTCAGGAAAATTGTTATGTATTCCTTTGGCTATTGAAACATTTTTGTTTTAACTCTGGATTTGATGGTAGTCAGTAAATTATTCTTAATTTCTTTATTAGTAAATTCAACGATAATACGACTATTATTTTCATTTTTATGTCTTAATCGATAAGTTTTTTTTATTATGTTCTTCTTTTACTTCAATATTAACAATTTTAGCTATGGTTGAGACTAAAAGCTTTAAATTTTCATTGGTCGTTTTTAGTATACCAGTTTTATCCAAGTTGTTACCAAGTTTTGCCTGTTCTGTAATATTATTATTTCCTTTCAAAATATCGATTTCACGTTCAAAAATGTTGTATAAATTTTAATTTAAAACGCTCATAAAAATTGACTTTCCGGTGGAAATTTTTTGTTGATAAAGGTAGACAAACTTGTAAGGGATCTTGTATTAAATTTTCAAATCTTAGATTTAAAAAGAAAAATTTTTATGAATTTCTATCAAATATAATTTAAACATTGCGGTAATTTTTAAGTATTTAGTCAAAATTTGAACTTTAAATACTTATAAAAAGAAATCGTGCATATATATTTTTAATATTTCTCTTCTGCTATTTTAACAATATGTTGGAAGCCTTGAATTACATTTTCAAGCTTTTTGACCCAACCAATACAAAGTTATTGATTTTATTTTGGTTGACACAAAATGTTTGCACCGGTTCCGGCAGGTCTCTACTGCAACAATGCAACATGTTGTGGACATTGCGGTGAAACCGCATTCGATCGTAGTGATGGGCACTACCGAATGATTTGAATAACCGACTAATAGTTATATTTTACTCCAAAAAACCGACTAATAGTTGGTTACAATTGCCATGACCAACTAACAACAAACAGCTTAATAACTAACACTATCGAAAAACGACTAATGACTAATAACTATCAAAAAACGACTTATGACTAATAACTTTAGGAAAAAACTGAAATTTTCACGCACAGCAAAATTTCGCACAAATCGATTTTGTTTTTTGAGGTAACACAAAAATAATAAACGTAAATACTTGAAATTTGCACCTTATTTTTATATTTATAATTTTAATCCCTACAAAATTTTCAAAATACTTTGCTACTTTTTGAGCTATTTAAAGGCCTAAGAAGTTTTTGGTAATTTTTTTTTTAAATGTCGATAAAAAAATTTTTGTACAGTCAAAACACTTGAAAATTAAATACAAAGTTCCTCGAAACTTGTTCTAAAAACAGTATAATATAAATACTGCACGACTTTTTTTCATAACCATTTAAAGTTCAAAATTCGTCGAAATTCATCAAATTATCGAAAATGTGAAAATCATTTTGTACTTAACAATTTATAAAAGTTCAATTTTTAAGGCCAAGGATTTAAAATTTAAAACAAGGCTCTTTTGGACGTAGTTGATAATTTAACAAAAAAATCTGAAAAATATATTAAGATAGTCATTTTTATACACGTGTTAAGTTCAAATTTGTCATGGAAAATTTTAGATTTTTGTTATTTTTTTTTCTTAATATGTCCATCAAAAATTGTTTCACTGGGTCGAGAAGCTTGAAAATGTATTACATAGATTTTCACGAGTTGTTTTAATATCAGTTACAGTTTATTTTGGTAACCATTTGGCTATAATATAATCATCAATATAGTCATTTAGTAATTATTTACTTTTATAAGATAGATGATGATTTATTTAATTCATTAGCAATTCATTCGTTAGTTGGCAGTCGAAGTTGGGGGGGGGGGATACGGAGGGATGACATCACTCTACTTTTTTGTATTTACATTTTTCATCCCTCTACTTATTTTGTCTAGAATAACGCATTCCTCCTGAGACTTGTGTTTTAAAATTAAATAATTATTATGATTTTTATATTTATACCTATGTATAAGAAAACTTTTTATTTTTCGTATAGGCCTAAATCTGAATTGTAAGACATCCCTCCACTTATCTTGAGCCATTTCGACCACTGTTGGTTTATTATTCCGATAACCGACTTATTTATTTATTGCTTACTACCGACTAAGTTATTAGTCATTAGCACGAATTAAGATATATCTTAATTCGTGGTCATTGGTCGGTGATGCCCATCATATTTTGATACCCGTATCGTGTGGCCTGACACTTACGGTATTACGTGTTTTAGTTATTTCAACCGTTCCTACGAATTATTCTGGGCTCTACGGTTCAGGCAATCTGGCATTCTACAACAAAACGGCCACTGGTGCAGTCGCCTGAGTCGTCAACTGAATTGTAAGTTGTAACAGTGCAGAGTCATCATTGTAAGTATTTTAATTTTATTAACTTGTGACTATTAATTAAATATAATTGTTTTTATAATTATTAAATTCAAAATAATAAGTAAGAAATTGAATAACGAATAGATTTATAAAATAATATTGCACTAGGAATTGCAGCCGGACTATATCCACGCATATTGTTTCTTTTTAATTCATCATAATAATTGTTGTTTATAATGTATTGAACATTAAAAAAATATGGAACCATGTACATTTAATTAATTAATTTGAATTATTAACTTAACATGGCATGTATCAATATAATATATTGTGAATATATGGTGTATACTGTGTGCTGCAATAGGCATATCATAAAAACTATATTTGTTGTAGACATAATTTTAAATAAATAATATATTAATTTTTTATTGATGCTTCAACAAGATAATGGACATTCAATACAAAATATGTATTTGTTTAACACGTGTCTGTCATATTTTATAGAAAATACTTATGTTTTAAAATCTATTTAATTTTATATCTTATAATAGTGGTATGTAAGTAGGTATGTTGGTTAGTTTTGGATTTTTGATACCTTTGGTAGGTACTTTTAAATTTTAATCGCAGGGTCAGATAACAAATCTGTTATTTGAATTTTTGTATTTTAAATAATAATATTATAAAATGCACAATTTATACGAAATTACGAAAACAGAAAATTAAAAGTTCCTATAGTTAAAGTACAGAAAACGTATAACCATGTGTACTTGGCAACTCGCCCACTAAATAATATACCTTATATACCTATACAAACATTTTTTTTTAGTTTTAATATTGTAGTAACACTAAATTATATTTTCAAAAAAGATTGGACAGTGATATGTAGATCATTTATAAGAAAACTAAGGTGGTTTTCCAATCATGAGAATAACTAATTATTAATTATTATACATAATGTTGGTTCTTAGGTTTTATAATTAATATAACTATTTCAGATGTGGAATAATCAGTGCGCATGTAACTTTTGTTTATCAAAAGCCAAATGTCCGCTACAGCAACAGTCTTGGCTGGAACAGACTGTTGCTGCAGCTGTTCAAAAACAGATGGCAGCGATAATGACTGCGGCACAGCCGCAGCCACGACAAATGACCAACGTCCCGAGTAAGTTTAATATTTTTTCAATATTCAGTTTACATAATATAAATATATTCAAATATTAATAGCGTAATTTATTACAGAATGTTATGTGTGCCATAAAATGGGCCATAAAGCCAACAAATGCTGGTGGTGCCCGGATGGTAAGTAGATATTATTTTTGTTAATTTTATGACTAATTAGGTCTTTTAGTATTTATTAATTTAAAAAAATGGTTCAGCTGCCCCCCGGCGGGTAAGGTCTAGACGTCAGCAGCAACCCGAACCGCGTCACGAGAGATCTCCCCGGAGGACCGAGTCTAGCCGGAGGACCGAGTCTAGCCGGAGGGACCAAAGATCTACTCGAAAGGATGAACATGAATCTACAGAACGGCCGGTGGAAACACCGTCGGGTACGTAAATACATAAAACTATATCCACTTCAACATAAAAATGTTACAAATCATGTTTTTTTTATCCATATTTCTGATGCCTTTGGTAAAAGAAAATATTATAATTTGTATTACAAATTTTGGCTACTAACAGAAGAAATAATAAATTAATAATTAATAAGCTGTGGCAGCCTGCTTGTGCTACGATATTCAGAAGAATGTGAGGTACTACAAGAAAAGTTAAATTTTAAGATAGGTAGCATTTTCAATATCTATATTTATTAGATTAGACAGAATATCAATATTTTCTAAAATTGCATTGATTTCGATAAAGTTGCGGGAGTTATAATTGAAAACTAGAGGGGGACTTATGGGATGGATTAAGGGTATAAGTGAATAATTGCTAAATATAGAATCAATCTCAATTGAATACTTTAGAAATATATTAAGTTAGTTTACTTTACTCATGACATGACCCGAAAATGATTTTAAATATCTTTGGATGTGTGTCTGAGAGAGAAAACAAATAACATGTTATTAAATGAACTTCAAGAGTATAATCTATATTCCTATAATGTTACAGTAGAAAAAGTTGTTAAAAAAACACGAGAAGAAATATCAGATATCGAAGAAGTTGTTATGTCCCTGTTAGATATGCCCGTAGAATATTCTCTTGGACATTGTGTAGCGAAAGATATGCATATGAGCGCGGGCATCGCCATAGAGTTTAAGTTACTGAACAAACATTTTAAACGTAAAATATACAGTGATATTTATTTTTAGCTAATCTGTTGATTAATTATGATTTAGGAGGATCTACGGGTGTGTTGGACAGCTGATGGACCAAAGACCAAATGTTGGCACAGTTGCGTATTTGCAACACAAAAATCGATTTATTTATTATTTAATTACAAAGGAATATAGCAACAATAAACCAACATATAATAGTTTAACTGCTGCCATTAAAAAACTACGTGATTTAATTATAAAACACAATGTTAAAAAATTAGCTATCCCACGCATTGGTTGTGGTCTTGACAAATTAGACTGGCCAATAGTAAGAGGCATCATTCAAAATGTTTTTCAATACGTAGGATGTACTATCAAAATTTGTCATTTTACACATGTAAGTCTATTTAATTCAGCCTTAATAGAATACAATACTATGAAATAAAGTAACTAATGTTTTATTTTTTTACAGTATACGTCAAAAGAGTCAGAATTACTTAGAGTTCGACACCCAAGAATTGTAAAAGTCCGTACAGATATCAATGATATTCAAAAACGAGAATTTGAAAAATTGAACATAATATTGTACTCTCGGAAAACTTCGTTACCAGTGTATTGGGATCAACATTTTCAATCAGTTGATGAAAAATACTGCTTTAAGTCTCAATACTATAAGGACTATCAGATGGATCTTGAAGTTGGCCAGTGTTTGTTTTATAGCACATTAGAAGCTGCTATATTTATTATAATCACTAACAACGATATAACTGATCATTTTTCATACGAAAACCTAGAAAATGGGCTTAAAAGGGTTAAGATGTTCATTAAGAATGAGAGGCAGTTGCACCCAACATTCATACTTCATGAATTCCAGAATAATCATAATTTTGAAATTATTGTAAATAAAAAAATTGTATCTCTAATGAGTACTTCTTTCTTAGAACTAACTCCATGTGTAATTTTTGTAATACAAAACTAAAAAGGCAATATTCAGTTTTTCTCACTTTATTTATGCTTAGTTACCTACAATACATTTACATTAAGTTAGTTAATATAATTACATACTTTGATTTCATATTATATCTACAATCTACATAATATGAAGGACTTATGGGATTCATCTACATTTTCAAAATTAATGTTTTTTTTTTTGTAAAACTGTTCCAATGTAAATAAGTTTAATTTTTGAAAATAATGTGTTATTTTCAGAATTATAAACATTTGTCATTAGGTATAAGTTGTAACTCTGATAAGGGTCCTATGTGTGACATTAAGTGGTTTCAGTAGAATTTTATATGCAGATCCCCATACAAGGATGCCATATAAAAAATTTAAAAGACAGACTGGACAAATGCAAATTAAACTTTTTAGACTTTGGACGTCTAAGATATTACGTAGTTCTTAAAAAATAAAAAAGCATTACCTTAAACCTATTATAAGCATGTCATGAGGTTTCTGTTTTAATTTTTCATCAAATATCACACCTAAATATTTGGTTAAGCTAACGTTATAGATATATAATCACAGTTTTTATTGCATTCTTTAATTTTAATAATAATAATATATTTTTATTTTATTTAAACTTAGTTATAGGTACAATTAGTTTTGGCAGTTAGGTGACATGAAATATAAATAAATTACTTATACAAACAGAGAATAATAAAAAAAAATAAAATAAGAATAAAAATTTATGATTAAAATAGAAAAACCGGTATGGTTGTATGGTTAAAGAAAGATAACATTGGTATAATATGTTTTTGGTATCTTATATATTTTATTATAATTTGTGACTATCTGGTGAGTCTTGGCTAGATATTAGATAATGCAAAAGGAACAAGAACTGATTTTTTTACTAAACATTTAACTTTTTTTTATTATTATTATTATTATAAAGTGTTCCTGATATACATTAGCATTTAATGTGTCATCTGCACAGGCCTATATATCTAAATTTAATTAACATATTATATTGGGAATGATACAGGACATAGGTCCTAGCACTGTACCTTGAAGGATGCCATATTTAGTAGTACACGAATCATGTTATACACTATAATTTCTCTTTTACCTTCCGATGATTTACAGTCATTACCTTGTATGAACCTCTTAAAAGTGAACAAAATCGCAATTCTTATATAGGAATCTAGTTGGTAGAATACCTGCCTCCCAATAATTTTGAGTCATAGAACCTTGCAGGGAGTTTATATTTTATATTATGTAAGTATAATTCATATTAATGTAGATTTTATCAAAACTACACTGATTCATCTAATTATCTAACAATAAACTAAAAACATTTAACATATTGATAGAACATACTATTGATGTTAAATATTACCTGAAAATATATGAATAAGCAGCTAGATGCAGATGGAAATACCTATTGAATTATTCAATAAATTGTACACACAAAGCTACAAATAAAGTTTTTAAAGTTATTTATCAGTTCGGTCGTATCGCTCAACATGACCACACGCAGGTCGTTTCGTTACGCTCCGTTATCACTGTAGCGCGCTCGTTAATTTTATCGTCAATTAAATAGGTCGATATCGATACCAACAATTAATGTTATAATGAACAAAAATGGTCAGACTTCCAAACGGAATCTTTCAAATTCATCCATGTCACCTATTCACGAGGATAAAAAAACCAAAAAATTTATTTCACCAAATAGATACGCCGCTCTCTACCTCGAAGACACCGACTCAAAAGTAACTACCTCTCCATCCGATTGTTTTTCCGACGATCATATTGAACTAACTATTACCGATAACGATCAAGTAGACGACTTGCCGGCTCCTCCGCTCTATATCAAAAACATCAAAAACTACGCATCCTTCAACAATACATTAATAAATCTCACCGGCCCAAACGGCTTCACCTGTAAATCGTCGTCCCAATTCCTCATTGTTCAGCCTTCTGGGCGAGTCAACTTTAATAAAATTACTGAACATTTAAATGATACCAACGCTGAATTTCATTCTTTTCAACCTCGCGTTTATCGCTCATACAAGATCGCTATCAGAAATCTGCATTTCACCACCACAAGTACCGATATCGTTTCCGTTCTATCCAAACTTGGGCACTCAGTCGTGCGGGTGCAAAACGTCATAGACAAATTCAAACGCCCCCTCCCATTATTTTTCGTAGAGGTCTCTCCGAACGAAAATAATGCAGATATTCATAAAATCACGTCGTTACTAAACACTAAGGTAATAATTGAAAAACGGCACACAAAGTCAACGGGTCCACCACAATGCTTTAGATGTCAATCGTACGGTCACACTCGCAATTACTGCAACCACCCTGCTCGCTGCGTTAAATGTGGAGAGGGTCACCTTTCTGAGGAATGCACCAAAGAACGCTCCAGTCCTGCCAAATGCGCCCTCTGTTCAATGGACCACACAGCAAACTTCAGGGGCTGTCCAACTTTCAAAAAACTTTCAAAAAAATTACCTTCAAAGGCTGAGACTACCGACCATCCTAACAACTCTGTGCCTAAAACGTATGCAGAAGCAACTAAAACTCATAATACTCCCACAGAAAATATCTCCGTTATTTTCTCCCAATTCATATCTAATTTAAATACTCTTATCAGCCCACTCATCACACTCCTCTCCTCAGTCTTAAATGCACTTATTGCCAAAAATACTACCTAACATGTTTCTTATCGTTCTATTCATGATTTTCTTTCTTATCTTATCCAATTATACACTTTGCACTTTTCAGCAATATTATTCTTATATAATCGTTTTCATTATTAACTCACTATTTGCAATGATAATCAATTTTAATTGCTTACGTAATATTATATATTGTACAGTTCTTCGGAACTAATGTATCTTATTTATCTTGTAACTATTTGTATTTTATATTCTCAAATAATTGTTGAGCTATCATAGTTATACTAGAAGCTAATAAAAAAAATAAAAAAAAAATAAAAAAAAGTTATTTATTTAATAATTATTCTATGTTTTAAAATAAGTTAGTTAAAAAACAAAAAAATAATGAATGCAAAAGAGTTTCCAAGACAATTTGGAAATATTTAGAATAAGAGAGTTAACTCGAAAATGTGCATATCAGTGGCGTAAGTATTTAAAACAAATTAAAATGGTCTGCTGTTTTCCAGAAAATAAATGAACCGAACTCTATAAATTGACGTTTATACAAATTCCACAAAAGGTATACAATTATTGATAAATAAACTTATAAGCGACAAATAAATTTAGTCGTTAACCGAGTTATTCAACACTAGATTCATATTATAATTGTGTGAAACTACCCTTCTATACTAGGCCAACATTTAATTTATACATTATAGGTACATCATATCAATATAAATATTTATAAAAGCCAAGTGGGGTCACAAACATTTTATCCATAAGGGTTAATATTGAAGCTGCCCACCTAAACTTTCAAAACATTTTTAAAACCTGAATGCCCAAAAATAGTATTTTAGTGACACCACTGGGAAATCTGTGTAACACAAACCTCGTAATAATTATGATTATTCTTGATTAACTATTGACAAAATGTATCCATTTGTACTCTTTTATATACCAATGACATTATGACGCTGTTATAGACATACATTTCCCATAACAATATGTTGCAATATAATATGTTAAATATGATGTAATCCTATTTATTTTATGTTTAACAACAGTTATTACTTATTTGTAATATATATATTTTTTTTAATGCAGTTTCAAACATACATACAATCAGGCATATTAATATCAATGTAAATTCATCAGAATATAAGCAGTTTAAAAATTTAAAAATTGCATTTACCTGCCTAAACCTATGTATATAAATGTGAAAATGAAAACCTTTGAGGACTATATTCTCGGAAACTACTGAACCGATCTTTTTGGCATTTGATTGATTCTCTAACTTAATAAGCAAAGGAGTTATCAATTATTATAAATAATGGCCACGGACTTAAGATATATCTTAGTCCGTGATAATGGCCCGTTACGTAGACTAATATAACCTAAATATTGATTACATTTGAAATGGAAACCATTTAAAACTTAAACCGTGGTTATTGTAACTAATGATCCGTTATCACAATTTATAATCTGTGATTATTGATAAAGCGATTTTTGTATGGTTTTTTTTGGTTTTTTTACAGACTTTTAAAGCTCTCTATTAAACACTTAAAAATTCGTTATGTCGATCATTTAAATAGAATCTCCATAAAATTCTCTACCGATAAACTTTAGATTTCACAATTTCTCGTTCTCCTATGTGGGATTAATCTCATCCACAAACAGACAACCACAATAGTTCTGAAAAGAGTGCATACCTAATATTATAATATACATCTGTAATTTACTAATTTACTATGCGTTTATACCTATATTGTCCAACGTTAGTAAATTTCAAGGCATGTCATAATGTCATATACTCATTATAGTATTATAACAAAATACAATTAGTTATAATCATTTTTGAGACGTATACATCATTAATTTTGATGATTGAAATTTTAAGTTCATCAGTTGTATAAACAATTGGTCATGTTTAACTCTCTTAAATGGATTTACTATCGATGTGGTTATGTGAATAGGAAACTACTTCTAGGAAAACTACTGACATAGAAAGTTGCGTGTTGCCGGCGTAATTACCAACTAATGCATAAATATGTACCTAATAATTTTTAAAGTTAAATAAATCCATAAGATGTAGAATGTAGATGACGTTCACATAAGATAATATTATACTTTTAAGTTACCAAAATATCGGTTTAGGCCCTTCTAAAACGTACTCCCGGAATCGGGGGTCCTCGAATCCCCCCCTAGGTGTATTTTGGAAAAGGTTAAGTTTTTGTACGACGTTTCTGAAACTCGAGATTTGTATAGTTTGGAGGTCGGTGATCAAATTCGGCGTCCTGTGTCCTGAGATTGTGCGAGCAGTTTTTCTCCGTCTTTTGGGGGTTCAAAATTTTAAAATCTGCGTTCGTGTTTTTCAGCA